GTATTGCACGAAGGGTTAGGTGCACTTTAACACTTCTCTGTTTTAATGCCCTTTGAAAATACACATGCATTATCACAACTATCATTACCTTCTGTCAATTCCAACGATAGAAACAGAACGGACAATCCACTGTATAACTCTCCTTGTCGAAGAAAATAGAATAGGTGCAGTTGGTCTTTCGCTCTAATATTAACTACACCCAAGTTACAGGGTGCTCAAATTTAAACTGTTCAAACTTTGATTAAAATAATTAACATTGATATCCCTAAACAATCCTCTTAAAAGCGGCAACTAATGGAGCGGTCTTCAGCAGATGGCTCTTTATTGACGGCCTTTAAACTGTCTCTTGGACACCTTTTTGTCTAGTGCGGTGTTAATGGGAAATATATACGTTTGTTATTGATTCGAATCCGAGATTGATAAACGAAGATAGACTACGTGACTGAAAACAAAGATTATTTAGCTAGCTAGTTTTTTTCTTTCCTCCCTTTTATTTTTGCATGCTTTCTTTCTTTCTTTCTTTCTTTCTTTCTTTCTTTCTTTCTTTCTCTCTCTCCTTCCCTTAGACTAAGGTTGTTTGATCATTTGTTCTTTTCCAAAATTTCTTTCATCCATTAAACTAGTTGCTCTTATCGTTAACAGGCCTTAACAGTCCCACACATCAATTCAAAAACACGAAAATAATTAATTTTTTCCTGTTAAGATAAGAATTACTCGTAACGTCCTGTTTACTAGCTAGTCTTTATCTTCCAAGGAAAATAGGATCCGTGCAAGCAGAGTTGAATTCCGGAACTGCAAAATGATTCTTAAGATATTCCGTTTTCGATAAGAATTCCAAAGAATCTTGACTCTGATATTTGATAATCCAAAAATGATTATTCATAGTAATTTGACTTTAGACAGTCTTTCTTGTTGAATTAAAGTGTTTCAAGCTGTTCTGTCGCCATCTATATATCTTCCGTGCAACCGCCATCCAACTGGGCCATTACTGTAGAGTAATATTCTTTCTCACGGTGTGGTCTGTGTGCACGCCAATGGCTCCCTGCAGTCAAATGTACTATATTAGTCTGTCTATCCTGCTTTGTGGTCTCAATAACCCTAGTGGTATGTATAGATGTAGGTGTAGGTGTAGGTGTAGGTGTAGGTGTAGGTATGGGTATAGGCATAGGCATTGGTGTAGGTGTATATGTGTAGGTGTGGGGGTAGGGGTATGGGTATGGGTATGGGTATGGGCATAGGTACAGGTATATGTATATGTATACCGATGTATGTGTATATATGTATATGTATATGTATATTTTCTTCATCATCATCATCATCATTATTATTATCATTATATTTCATAAGGGGTAGTGGTTAGCATTAACAATTAAAACAAATACACTCAAAAGCCTGGGGTGACGTCACAGTCAGTAGCATAATGGAAGTACGGAAGGAAGGGAGGTGAAGATATCGAATACGATCTTCTGTGTGCTTGCCAAACAGCAAAGAAAAGTTTATTCCAGGAAACTACCAGCATTTTACACAGCTCGATATATAAGATTGGCGCATTTGAAGCTTTAACATTCATTATGAATTCAAAAGTGACTAATGAATACAAATATCTAAGGCAGCTGWGTGCTCAACAAGTCCAAAAATGTTTAATCCGCTGAACAAATTCTCCTTTTTGATAAGTCAAGGCATAGTTAATAGAGGGGAATGGTTATGAAACCTATTGTTTAGGCCTAGGTTTAGGCCTTCATTTGCTTATTTCCCATATACACCTAATTCAAAAAACGTTGTCATCGCCAAAGGCGATAGGCGATAGGTCATTCTGCCGACATGAAAATGGTTTCGTTGAAAACAAAGAACATCGAATCAGTCTCAGCACTAAGGTCCATATACTCTTGACGAGAAGAAAAAGAAAAAACACAAGTCATTCCAGCTATTCTTGGATCTTGGAATGACATATATCCTATCGCTTTTCGCCTATCGCCTATCGCCTATTGCCTATCGCCTATCGCCTATTTCCTATCGCCTATCGCCTTTGGCTATGACAACGTTTTTTGAATTTAGGTATGTTTTCAAAAGCCTGACAAAGCAACATTCTATCGCAAATGCAACAAAACATCTTAGTACGATTTTTGAAATATTTATTAAAAAATTTAATTTTTTTCTTTGTTCAAACAGGCATTTTGTCATAGTACATCAGTTTCTAACTGTTTAAAAAAGGTTTTGAATGTTAACCCAAAACGAAAATTGGAATCAAAACTTATACGAAAGTCTAGTTTTTGGCGCTTTTTGCCATTATTGCCCATTATTGAAAAACATTTCCTCTTAAAACAAATACACTCAAAAGCCTAGGGGGACGTCACAGTCAGTAACATATTGGAAGTGTAAACCTTCATAACTTAAAGACGCGACATTCAAATGAAGAAACATTTCGCCATTCAACTATTCACTTTATGTAGAATCAATACTGAAAGTATTGTATCAGGGGTTAGGTTCACTTCAAGTTTGACAGTTGCTCTGGGTTACCAGAAAAAGAGCAAGTCACGTGAATAAAACTCAGCCATCTGCCACATGTTATATTTGCATATATATAGTCGTCTTCATTTACTTCTGACCAAAACAAAGCCAAGAGACAAAGCAAGGGCAAAATTTTAAAGGATCAAAGCGAACGGCCTACAAATTAAGGCTTTATTTTGCAAATATTTATAAAATGGTGTTCGTTACAGCAGCAATCGCCATCGGAGCGATGATTGTTGGATTTATCAGTGTTACTGGGCTGACATCTTACGTTATGTGTGGTCGATCGGATTCAGACGACAAAAGCAAGAGCCATGACTCATCGAAGGCTCCATCTGATCACTCAAGCCAGCCATCATTCCATGTTACTCCAAACGACCCTTATTACTTCACTGAGCCAGTTGTACGGATCGAAACTCTGCCGTTCTTGAAAAAAGAAGCTAAGCTGAGACATGGCTACGTTCTTCCTCCAGAAATTTAAATAAATACGTCCAAAAAACATCAGTATTAATTATGTTACCGTGAAATAATCAATGAAGTGYATTATTTAGCTCAGAGAAACGGAAAAAGCGAACCTTTAACCTGCCATAACACATCAYAAGGACGGAATTTAAGGAGAATTTAACTGTAAATCTACGAAACTGAAACTATACACACTATAAACAGTCTTCAGTACTGGTAATTATTTTCATCATCACCCGACCAAGACAACTCTATGTATCGTTGTCGGGTTCAGAAACATAGAACAGGAGCGGAGACCAAAATGGCACAAAAAGGAAGTACGTTAATTAGATGCATGCTGTGACCGGCGACCCGTGGCATCATCCACTGTTTTTAATACGCGTTTGGCATCCTAAACCGACTGCATGGATGGCACAAATGAATAAATTATGATATAATTATGTCATTTTTCATGTGCCATTTCGGTCTCAGCTTCTATGTTCTATGTTTCTGAACCACGATTCTTCAATTGAATGTATATACTTATTTTGAGTCGTCTGAGTCGGTCAAATATCATATAGATGCAAAAACATTTTGAAATAAAATTAAATTTAATGTTTTGCTTTCAAAGCCTGCACTTTTCGCTATTAGTAGGATATAACTTATAGCCTACTAGTAGCTCATCCAATCATAATGCAGCATTAATGATAGACTACTTGTTGGATTTGACAAACAATCAATCATTGGACGAGGTTTATCAAAATATCATGCTTTGTTAGTGGAAAGAATGCGATCATTTGTCATCGTTGAAGGCAGAGGTAAATAATTGCTCGCGAGATACTAACAAATCACGCGGATATTTTACTGTATTATCGAGTTCAATAATTGTTTTATCTTTCAAATTATTTTTCAAGCAAATTTATCAGAGTAATTAGGACTCAAAAATTAGAGTGCATTCAGTTAATCCGTGAAACACAAATTACTATTTTGTACTAAATAGTGCAAGTCAAACAATAGAAACCAAAGGCTTTTGTACAATTTTGTGCAATTTTGTATTACTAACGTTTCACGGATTAACTGAATGCACTCTAATTTTTGAGTCCTAATTACTCTGATAAATTTGCTTGAAATAAAACTGGATAAAAACATATTTGTATTGGTCTTTTGTGTATTCCTTGCTGTGTCATAAACTGTTCTGGTTCAGTGATAGCGACTATTAGTATCTAAATAGCGACTATTTGTTAGTAACTAGTTTGATTCTATTTCACAGTTCAAGTGTTTTTGCTCTAAGACAAATCTTGGTGTATTAGGAGTAAAAATGAAAAATATCGCAAAATGTTTTTCCGATTATAAACCATTTACTATTTGATCTCTTTAATTTGCCCGTAGGCTGAGGCTGCACAATGGGACACAGGGTGCCCTTCGAGGTCCTTTTATCTATCTATATATACACCTACTTGCAAGAACGCTGTCATACGAAAATTAAGAGTTAATTACCGAGAACGGAGGCAATAAGCCATATACACCACGAAGGATGTATAGGCTTATTGCCGACGCTCGAGGTAATTCAGTATTTTATTTATCAATTGAGAAGGTTTTCTATCAATTGTTGCTCATTATAAATGCGAGGTCTATATATAGTTATTAACCGGGTTATTACAAGAATAAAGCCTTGTGAACAACAAAGGAAACCGTGTCAATCGAGAAATAATAGAACATTAGTGATTTAGTGGGATAGGAATTATATTAAAAAACAAAAGAAGATCACTGAAGCTGAACTTTTTCTTTTGTCTTTTAATGTATTCCTTTCTAGCTAAATTACTAATGTTCTAATATCGTATGACAACGTTCTTGCAAGTAGGWGTATATATTTTAAAGAAAACCTCTTAATATTATCCGGGAACGTTATATAACCTTAATATCACCAAAACACTGATGTTTTTTTACTCCTTCAATCAATTTGAAACGACAAAAAATATATTGCAAATATAAATAGCTTCAAATTTAGACTATGTCATTGAATATTCTATATTTTTTATTCTCGTCCTCAGAGCCCACGTTATTCTTGGTCAGCACGGACGTTTTAGATGATTCATTTCATGCAGAGATAGCTCGGAGAACATCCTCATCCTCACCCCCACCCTCTGTACAGTTGAATTTGTTGTCATTTCGCCTCTGTTGTTCAGAGTTCTCGTTTAATTATTGAAATCCAGTCTTTGGCCCTTAAATTTAACAAGTTTGTGGTAAAAGGAATCGTACAAATACTCCCCTCTCCCTCCCAGAGAGCAAGAGACAAAATACCCCCGGGGAGGGGGTGCTCGCTATTAATAGACATGATATGCATTAATCTCCAGACTCAAATGCGACCTTTTATTCAATCAAAACCATGAACAAGTCTTTTCTTGTTACACCACATTTTCCTGTCTAATCATGGATTTAAATGATAAGGAGTTGCCATAGTGATGATGTTGTCATAGTAATGAAAGTAGCCTCAGGATCCCAGCGCCTTTAATGAGTCCTATAAGATATGCAGCAAAAGTAGGAATTCGCCATTTTCAGGCCTTAGTTGACGGTTGTTTTCTGCGATTATCTAGCTAATACCACGGAAATGAACTTAGAGATATTTTACTTGCCCGTGAAACAAAATTGTATAMTTAGTGACTAAAAGTCAAACTGAGAAAAGCGAAAGAAAACCGAATGGAATTAGGATGTAGTAATGTATTTTACTTAATATTTTTTCACGGGACAAGAACCATCATTGTCCTTCTAACGCTATAGTTATGTATAGAGAAATCTAAATTGATGGTTGCAGTAACCAGGTAAAGAAACCTATTTCCGCGTTCGTCTATTAGCTCCTTTGATGATGATATAAATCCTCTCTAGACTCCTCTAGACTAGTTCTTCTTTGTGCTCTCTGTTCAGTAACGAGGAGTCGTACCATCGACTTCATTTTCGCAAAAGTCAGAGAATCCAGAAGCGATTCTGATTCGATTCGATTATTTCCCAGCTTGATTCGTACTGTTTTAGCAATAGCTATTCTCTCTATGATTGGTGGCTTGAGTTGATATTCAGTCCTAAAGGCTAATTCTTCTCAAAAAGCGACTGATTTTCGTCTAAGAGAACCAGTTTTCCTAATGAGTCCTTCTTTCATCTTCCCAAGAGAAGAATTGTTAGTTTTCTGTTGTCGTTCTTGCTTCTCTCGTTTTAAATGCTGCCTTACACACGCCTTAACCATGTCAACAACCTCCTGATATCCGTCTCTGTCCGAGATTGAAAGTTCGTAAAATCCGGAGTCCAATTCCTTTGCAAGCTCGCTGCCTTCAGTTTCATTCACAGATCGAAAGTGTTCAAGATCTCGCTTCGTTCCGACAAGTGTCATTGTCGTCGAGTCAGCGTTTTTGCGATCTTTGATGTAGTTTGCGATCCTTTTGGCTTCATCAAATGTCTTGTGATCAGTGATGGAGTAAACGAGGAGGAAGATATCTCCTTTGTTCATGCAGTGGTTGAGCTTAACAGCAGAGTTCTGTATGGTGGAAAAGAACGCAAAGATCGTTAGTTATGAAATAACCTCTGGGCTGATCGAAGTCGGGGCACGGCTAACTCACAGGTCAAACCCTGAAACAACCTCTGGGCTGATCTAAGTCAGGGCATGGCTAACTCACAGATTGAACCCTGAAACAACCTCTGGGCTGATCTAAGTCA